TCCCTCCCCACCGCCCTCTCCTCCTCTCCTGGGACCTTGGATAATGTCCACAGGAGAACTTGGAAATAAAAAGCTGGTTTGTTTGTGTCCTTGGCACCCAGCCGCCAGCATCAACTCCCTGCAGCCCAGGAAGGGGCTGCCCTGGACAGCTTGACTCCCTCCCCACCTTGGGCAGCCAGATAACAGGCGGGCATTTCTTCCCAGAACTGGCATCACCACCTCCTGATCCCTTGGTCGGAAGTGCCCTCCCTTCATCACCACCTCCCGCCCCAGAGCTGATGGTGGGTCAGAGTCCAGGTGGGGGGGGGGGTACCCCACCCTGAGGTGCTCCTGTTCCCAGAGGTTGCTTAGGGGCAGGTCATTGACCTGTGGCCGCGAGCCCTCTGTGTTGCCCTGCTGCCCCCTGGAGCAGCCCCAGAGCTGGTTCTGGAAAGAGAGCTGTGGGCTAAAGGTCTCATTTCAATGCCCCGCTTCCTGCTGAGACGTCCCTTCTGCCAGACTCAGAGCTCCTAAGAGACTAGTCCCAGCCCCCACTTCCCTCTGGCTGATCCCCGAGACCAGGGAGCCAGAGGGGCTCAGCTGAGGAGGCCCTGCTCAGCACTGATACTCGACTCTCCCTGTTTCCGCTGCAGGTTAATCGCCTTAGAAATGGCAAAGATCCACACCATCCACGCCAATGGCACCCTGCCTAAGCCCACCCTCTGGCACAAGATGCACAACTATTTCACCCTGGTGAAGAATGAGATCAACCCCAGGTATAAAGCTCAATCGGGGAGGGCCCAAGGCCACCGCCATGGCCACTGCCACCAGTTCCACTGCCTTAATATGCTCCCCCTCACTGTTCTCCCATGGGGGCCTAGGGACTCGCTTCCTGCAGCCCCTTCAGACACCACTGCTGAGCCTCCATCTCTAGGTCAAGCTGGGCCCACTGACTAAATGCCAGAGGTTGACATCCGTGGTTCCAGCCCCGTGTGCTCATTTCCCTTGTCCTCGGGTCCTCTAAGGTCAAGGACACCTTCTCCCCCGCTTACTCAAAGAACCACTGAGGCTCTGAGACCACGCTCTGCTTCACCTCCCGGGGGCAGGACTTGTGTTCCCCAGCCCTGGTCTCTTTCTACCTGACCTGCCTGCTGAACAAAGAGACGGGCAGGGCCCTCAGAGAATGGGGTGCGGCTGGGCTCTGAGGCAGTCAGAGGAATTCGACCCATCCATCCACAAGCCCTTGGGATGTCAGGGTTTCTTTGAATTGCCTGGCCCGCTCCTGTACTCACCTGCCTCCCGGAACCCCCGTTTCCTGCCGTGTTCAGAAGAAGGTTTTGAACCTCTTCCCGGTTCAGTGGTCGCTGATGAAGGGGAGCCCAAATGAACCCACATTTGTAAGATGTGTGCGAACGAGAACGGGAAACATAAAGGATTAAAACCCTGCCCAGAAACCTAATCTCCCTCTTAAAAAACCAAGGCAGCTTACAAGTTGGGTAGCAACCCAGCTCTCTTGACAGGCAGAGTTGGAAACAACGGTGCCCCAGTCAAAGACGGCAGCCAGCTGAGTCTCTTTGCAGTGGGTGGCTGTCCATAGTCCTGCCAACGAACCGGTCCCCCACATCAGACTCAGCAGATGGCTCGCTACACCTCTGCTGAGTGTCCCTTTGCAGGGCTTCAACCTAGCAGCGGTCCAGTTCTGGTGCTCATTCTGCTTCATCCAGAACCAGGGTATTCAGGTCTGCTCCAACCTCACTTCCTTGGTCATGACCAAACTGGTTCAAAGTCCTGCTTCAGGCTAGTGACTCACTGTTTCCTTTGCTGCCCTGTCCGGGAAACGGGGCACTTCACCCCTCCTGACACTGCCTGTTCCCTGACAAGATGGGCTTCCCTGGCCCTCCCTTCCACTCCTTGGCCAGCACCCTGAAGTCAGTCTTGCTAGCTTTCAGACACCCAACTCTCCAACATGCCCTGAAATGCTGAGACCGGGACGAAAAGGTGGAGGGAAGGACGGGGGGTACTTCCTCTTCCACAAAGACAGGTAGCAGTGAGTCCCCGGTCCCTCCATTGCCTCCCTGGGGGCACTGAGCGCAGTATCTGTGCCAGAAGTTCATGGGACCAGAGTGCAGAAGAGGTTTGGGCACAAAGACCTTTCCCCCTCTCCGAAGATGTCAATGTGAAGGAAACCAGCACACAGGACAAACAGGAGTGCAGGTTGCAGTTGGCGCGGATCTTGTCTTGCGTGGATCCACAAGCGGCCGTCAAGAGATGCCAGGACACATCGCACCAGGTAAGCACGCTGCACCCGAGCGCTCTAAACTGCGCAAAGCAAGGAGGTCACGTTGAAGGTTGAACAACGAGTAAGGAAGACCAGAGAAGCATCCACGCACGTGAAATTACGGTGCTGGCGAAGAGTCTCAAAGGTACCGCGGGCCGCCAAACAACAAGCAAATCTGCCTGCGAAGAACTACAGCCAGAATGCTCCTCAGAGGCAAGGGTGGCGAGACTCCTCCTGCGGACTCCGGACATGCTGTCGGGAGAAACCAGTCCCTGGAGAGGGACAGCATGCTTGGGAAGGCAGAGGAGCCGTGAAAAGAGGAAGGCCCTGACGCAGTGGCTGCAACATGGGCTCAAACATGAGGACGGTTGTGCGCATGACTCCAGGCCAGGTAGTGCTTCATTCTGCTGCGCGCAGGGATGGACGCAACGGCTCCGACAGCAAGATGACAAGCCCAGAAGGGACGCTGCCCCTATTGTTGCGCTGGGCAGATTGGCCGCAGAAGAGCTCTTGGAAGAGATAGGACAGCAAAGATGCTGTTTTGAGGACAGTGGTGTTTCTGATCCCAGCCACGATCCTTTCAGTGGATTCGCATGCGTGCCCGAAGCCGGGCAGTGAGGAAGGGAGGCTGAGAACAAGGAGTGACAGCGCTGGTGAAGGGTGCTGCATGGACCGCGGGCTTGGGTGCTGCCTGCAGAAGCAGCGCATCGACCGCGAAAGACGCCCTGCCAGCCACTCCTCGGAAGCAAGGATGATGAGCCTTTGCCTCACGTTCTTCAGAAATGTTCTCAAAGGGGCCCAGTCCCTGGGGAAGGACATCAGGCTGGGCAGACCCGAAGGGCAGCAAAAGGGAGGCCAGTGATGAAGCGGATCACCCCAGGAGCTGCTCCAGGGAGGGTGGTGCAGGACGGGGTGCTGTCTTGTTTCATTGAGCATGGGAGGGGGTGCTATGAGTCAGAAGAGGCTCGCTGGCCTCCAACAACAACATTCCCCTGTGAGTGCGCCTTTGGTGAAGGTACAATGTGTCCATGCACACACACACAGACACACACATGCACACATGGTTTCCCACCGAGAGCCTCCCACTGACTTCACTGGTGATCCGGCACTCCCTCTGGCTGAGTTGTGTAGGACAGCCTGAACTTGCCTCCTCTCTGGCCACGTTCAGACCCACGTGACGTGTCCCGTTACCTCCAAAAGTGCGACTGCCTCCCACCACCACCCCGTCAGACTAGGTGAGCCCACGGAGCACAGGGTCCTCTTGCTGACCAGATCCTCCAGTCGCCTAGCCCACCCCCTCCATTGGATAGATGGGAAACCTGAGCCCACCCCCACCCCCACCCCCGGAGATGGGCCTTGCCCAAGGGTCCATGCGGATGTGTGGCAGCGCAAGGACCAGAGGCCAAGCCTCCAAGTGCTCAGGTGCCATCTTGGCCAACTTCTCTGGGCTGTGCTGTCACCGGGAAGCCTTGTGGGCAGTGGGCTAGCCCCAGAGAAGAGTCAAGTCCCCTTGCTTGATTGGCCCTCGTCAGATCTTTGACCTTGGACGAACCAAGTTGTGTAACGTGTCCGTGCCTGCCTGCCCTCTGCTCGCCTGGTCGGTTCCAAAAGCAGGGTGACGCCGAGCACTTGCAGACCAGGAACCTCGAGTTCCTGCCGTTGCTTAATACTCCTGATGGATGAAGCCATCTTTGTTTCACAACCACGGATTGACTGGGATGTAAAATGACAAAGAAGCACCAACAGGACATTGGCTCTGTCCCCAAGGAGTGTATGGACCACCGGGATGAAGAGGACATGCCCCCTCAACAGCCACAAAACCAATGGGGTGTGAGTCGTTTATGCTGGGGTCAGGGTGGGGGCAGAGATGGCCTGGCAGAGATGAGCGTCAAGGCCGTTCCGGGCCCAGGTGGGGGTGGAGGGGTGGGGAGGCGGGACGGCAGGAACCAGGTTTGCTCAGCGATGTTGAGTAGAGGTTGGCAGGAGCTGATTGGGGCAGGTGCTGGGAGGGGTCGTGGGAGACGGGGCTGCAGAGCTGGCTTGCAGCCAGATCATGCTGGGCCTTACATGTCGGGCGAGGGGGCAAGCTGTCGTTCAGAGGCAGTGCAGTGTCGTGCTGCGTAGTTGAGCTAGGGAGTGACCTGGGCGGGATCGTGGCTTAGGACCATAGCTCTGCCTGCCAGTCTGGTGAAGAACAGACTTGGGGGGTTGGAGAGGTAGGAGGAGCCTGGGGTGTTTGCCCATGAAGTGGATTGGAGGTCTTGCATTAGACCCCAGAGGGCTGCATTTTGACAGGCTCTGAGGCAGGTGGCCTGAGGACAGCTTCACCAGGAGGCTAGAGATGAGGGCCAACCGGTGGGGAGACCCTGTGGGAAGAGTTCTGACCGCCTTGGTCTTTGGCGGGAGATGGGGCCTGCAGGGGCTGTTAAGGTGGCTGGGAGCAGGAGGGACTGACTGCCTCGGGCACATCAAGAGAGGTCCTGGGGGGAACCTGCAAGTGGTAAATCCACGTTGGGCAGGAAGTGAAGATTCTGCCCCTGTCCAGATCAGGAGGGGCCCTGAGAGCAGAGGGGTTGGCTTGGCAGGTGGCTGTCCCTTCCAAGGAGAACCAGCTGGAGAGGCCCCAGCCCCTTCGTGTGGCTCAGTGTCCTTGAGAGGCAGGACAGGAGGTGGCAGCGGAGGGACAATTTTGCCAGCGTGTGAATGTTTTGATGACGCACTGTGGTGACAGGCAGTCCCCAGATTACAAACAATCTGTCCCTAGATTGGAACAGTCAGGTCCGGTTGGTGTCCAGTATCAGTCAGTCAAATGTTTGTCTGTGTGGTCAGCATACCTCTCCACGTGTAAAAGACAAGAAGAAACACTCGCCGGAATGTGGGAACATCTTCAGTGTCAGAACACAGTAGGAACAATCCTATTTTGATGCAGGTCACACTGAGGGAAGCCCATTTGCGATTAGCAGCCATTGCACCAACCTCGACTTTCTAAGACTATTCAATTAGGAGGGACCCCCCCACCCCACCCCCGTGGCATTGCAGGTTATGTGTTGGATTGCTCGCTGCAAAGTCGGAAGTTCGAACCCGTCAGCTGCCGCTCTAGAGGAAGATGAGGCTCTCTGCTCCTGTAGAGTCACTGTCTCGGAAACCCACGGGGGCGGTGCTGCCCTGTTCTTTAGGGTCCCCATAAGTCTCATGACTCGATGGTTGGGCGTGAGGTTTTAAGGGGCCTGGCTCCTTGTGGCAGGCTGGGTGCCTATCACCTGGCATAGCTCCTGTCTGCCAAGCGGACAGCCTTGAACGTGGCCGGTGGTGTCAGGACTGAGGGTGGTGGAGCTGGCGGTGTTTCAAGCGCTCAGAGGAGGACCGCCCAGTGGCTGAATGCTGCCCGCCCAGGAGATAGAAGGTCCGGGCTGTTCCCACACTAACCATCTGCATGGCCTTGGGGTGCGGTTGGGGTGGGGGTCAGATGGAGGTCAGTCCCCTGGGCGGCTGGCATCTTTGAGTGTCAGAGGCATGAGTTCTGGCAGGGACCTGGTAAAACTGGAGGAAGGCTCCTCGTTTTTATCTGTACATTTTTATTCGGGGGTGGGGGGTGGTGGGGGTGGGTGGGTTGTGCTTAAAAGGAAAAGTAGCTTTTGAAGGAGAGCTGTGGGCTTGACACCCGCTCCCCAGCCTATGCAGAGCCCCAGGGCACTGGGGTCCTCCGGGAGACTCAGTTTAATGTCAGAGCCTAAGGAGCCCTAGGCTTAGCCCTGGGCTAAGCATTGGGCTACTATCTGTGACCACACCAGTTCAAACCCACCAGCAGCTCCTTGGGAGAAAGAAGAGGCCACCTGCTTGCGTAGAGATTTACAGTCTCGGAAATCCCACGGAGCTGCTCCGCTCTGTTCTGTCTTATAGTTGCCATGCGTCGGAGTCGACTTGGAGGAAGTGGGGGATCCAGCTGGGCGGGCACATCTGGAGGCTGGGAGGAAACCTCTCACTGGCCTGGAGCTGGACTCCCTCCAGAGCTGGACTCAGTGATCTAAGATCTTCTTTGGCCTTGACCTTCTCTGAGCCTGTGGCTTTGGGACTTGGGCTCAAAGCGTGCCGAAATCTGGTCCTGCCTCTCTCTCCTAGGCTCAGGCTTGGGGCTGCCACCATCTCTGGCTCCTGGTATCTGCGCTCTGACCCTGGGCTGAGCTGAGGGCCGAGCAGCCTGTCCTGGAGGAAGGTCCCAGGCCATACCTCCTTCTCAGCCTTCCTCCCGGGCTCCTGCAGCACGCAGGGAGAACCACGTGACTGAAAACAAGGCCCGGGCCTCCTCCCCTCTCCCCATTGGTGGTTCTGGATTTTCAGGGCTGGTCTAACTGTTGGCTTTTTCAGTGTGCCTACAGGCCAAAGTGCAGAGCCTCGGAGCACAGCATGCCTCACCAAACTGCCTGTGGTAACCTCACAGACTGATGAGCCGGGAATTCTGTCCTCAGAAACAGACGCCTGCCCTGTGCCGTGGGGCGGGGGCGGGGCGGGTGGAGGGGCAGCACCCACATGCTTTTGTTTGTGCTCTCATTGCCTGTGCCACACCCGCTCTGGGGTGGGGGCCGTGGTCTGGGGCAAGGACTCACCTGCATTCTCAGTGGACAGGAGGAGTTACAGGCAGCTCCAAGCAAGTGCTTTTAGATGGAAAGACCCAAATACTCCCTGGAGTCCCTGGGTGGGGGTGGGGGGGCGACCGTCGGCACCTTTGGCTGCTATCTGGAAGGTGGGAGGTTTGAGTTCACCCAGAGGCGTCTCGGAAGAAAGGCCTGGCGATGGCCTTCAGAAGAGCTCGCAGGTGAAAGCTGTGTAGGTCCCAGGTCTATGAGACCCACGGGGTTTCCAGGATTCAGAACGATTCCCTGGCATCTCGTCTGGTTTTTGCTTTGTTTCATGGTTGTGTGCGTATGTGTTGGACAATCTCTGCACATACAATTCGGTGCCGGCGATTCAGCCTCCCGGTTGAGCCACCTTTACCGCAGCCTTCTCCAAAGGATCCCACGTCGCAAACACAAACGTCCTGCCCCCGGCTCCCTCTCCACCCTTTGGACTCGCTTTGTCGAGTGGACGGTATCTAGGTAATTCCTTCCGACAGTAAATGCTGACTGCCAAACATTACTTTCCAAATAAAATGACTTTAGGGGATCGCGTCAGTGCAGCATTTTCTCCAGGCTCTAATAGTTTAGGGGGGTGTGTGTCATCTGCCCTCAGTGACCCCCAGAAAGTCCAGATTCTAGGGAATGCTGGTCTGTTCTGCATCACCCACCCACGCCTCCCCCCTCTGTGTCAGAATGGTTTGGTGCGGTTTCCTATTCCTTGATCCTGTAGGAATGAGGCCAAGAAATGGTTTGATTTGGGGGGGGGCCTGGGGGGCCAGGAGATGAGAAGGTGAGCCTTCTCTCGGCGGTCCCTTCCACTGGCGACATTCTCGGCTGTTGGAACAGATGGCGAGGACACAGCAAGACCTAACTCGGCCTCTAAGCGCTCACGGTGCACCAGCCGGTCCCCAGGGCCCCGTTTCTCCATGGGAAGAACTTGGTGGGGAGCCTGGGCGGAGGGTCACCCCTTCTCCTCGGAAGTTTTCCTGCCCACTGGGCATGTTGTCTCTGAGTCTGGAGGGGTTAAGTCTTGATGTTTCCTTTCCCACTTCTCCCTGGGCCTCCTTCCTCACCCCCTCCTCCTCTCCGTCCTCATTGCCGCCCGCCGTTCGGCCTGGGGCTCTGTCTGCAGCGCTCACAAAGGAGGCTGGGGAGCAGGGAGCCCGCCTTGGTCCCTCTTCACCCGTGACACCGTTGGGCCTCGAGACCCAGCCCCTTGGTCCAAGGTCCCTCTGCAGATAAGGAGCCCTGGTGGCAATAGGGTTAAGCTCTTGGTTGGGAGTTGGAAACCAGGTTGGTTGTTCTAGCCCACCCACTGGCTCCATGGGGAAGACAGACTGGCAATGGGCTGTTGTACAGGTCACAGCCTGACAAGCCACATCAGGGTGCCCCGAGCGCACATCCTCTCAGCCACCCCTAGGAGAGGACTCTGCTGTAAGAGAGTGATGGGGCCAGAGGTGGGGGGCTCCTGAGGCCCAGCCATGTCTGTCTGTGCCCTGCCCTCACCAGCCACCCCTCTTGCCCCTGTCCAGCCTCTCTGCAGGTGTCCCAAAGGTTGAGGTGCTGGAGCAGGAGCTGGCCTGGCTGAAGGAGCACCTGTCCCAGCTGGAGTCCCCAGTGGTGCTCTGCCACAATGACCTGCTCTGCAAGAACATCATCTACAACAGCGACAAAGGTATGGCGACTTGGGCCTGGGCCAGCCACGCACGGGCCAGCAAGAGGCGGCCACGTCTGGGGCTGTGGCGTGCGTTTTCCCTCCATGGTGAGAAGAGGATTAGGAAGCAGAAATGTCCACGTAGGCAAATCATTCTGTGTCCAGAGAGATTATAAATGCACGAGGCGTGGGAGGACGCCCAAGCCCCTCCCAAGAGCTCCTCTGGACTCCAAGGGCACTGTGGCTGGCCCAAGGCCTTCGTAGAGGGAGCCTCCTGTAGGTCTCAGCGAGGGCTCCCTCTCCCTGGGCTTCCTTAGCTTTGTACCTGATCCCCAGTCAAGCTGAGGCTGGGGAAGGGCTGAGCACCCGGCAGGCGGACAAATGGGCAGGGGGAAGGAAGCAGGGTAGGGAGACTTCTGAAGAGGAGGGGGAGTTCGGCTGGGAAGCAGGAGGTCATGAGTGCTTTCTAGCAGTGGGGGGAGGGGGGATGGGGAGGACACCTTGAGAGGCCCTGCTTCTAGCTCCTGGGACCCACCCCTCTGCTTCTCTGCCTCCAGGTCACGTGCGGTTCATTGACTATGAATATGCCGACTACAACTACCAAGCCTATGACATTGGCAACCATTTCAATGAGTTTGCAGGTGAGGGATGTGGGCACCCTCCTGTGATGGAGGGGAAGGCCACCCAAAGGGACGTGGAGGGGGGCCTACATCCTTGGGGAGAGACACAGCTTGCCTTCCGAGTTCCACATCTCCGGGCAGGCGGGACCCATCTACACAGACCACGCCCATTATCCCCTGCCTGGCTTGCAGCTTGGTGTGAATTGGGAAAAATGCACGCTTTGGGCTGCAATCCACAGGGTCGGTCGGCAGTTCAAAACCACCAGCAGCTCCAAGGGAGAAAGACTGAGCTTTCTACTCCCGTGAACGGTTAAGGATCTAGGAAACCCACACGAGTCACTGTAAGTCAGCCCTGAGGGATGGCAGTGACCTCAGCGTCCCTCCTCCCCAGTCCTGTCCAGGTGTTTCCACACCCAGGCCCTGAGGGGGCTGACCAAGCTGTACGTAGCTGTTGGCCCCGGGGCATCAGGGGAACTCATACCAGTACGTACCCTGCAACTTGGCTTACCCAGGGTTCAAATCCTGGCTTTGCTGCCTCGTCACAGTGTGGCCCGCGGGCAGGTAGCTTCTCTTGCTCTGCCTCTGTGAAGTGGAGATGATAGGAGTCCTTGTCCTCAGGTGCTGTCCAGTTGGGTCCAACTCATAGTGACCCTGTGTGCAACAGAGCAGCACTGCTGCCCGCCCGGCACTATCCTCCCAGTTGTTCTGTGTGAGCCCATCCTTGCAGGCTAGCGTGTGAAGGATCTTCATCTTTTTCTGCTACCCCTGTACTTGGCCAAGCATGGTGAATCAATCTCCCCCTCTCTCTCTTTCTCACACACACCCCTGCACCAAACATACTGCCCCCTAGTCAATTCTGACTCATAGTGAGTCTGTAGGGCAGGGCAGGGTTGAATTGCCCCCATGGGTTTTGCTGAGACTGTAACTTTTTAAAAAAAAACAAAATAGGGAGGCTGGTGGTTTCTAACTGCTGACCTTGCAATTCACAGCAGGCTCCCTGCTCCTGGTACATACTAAGCATCATTTAAGTGTTTGCTGCTGATCTTGGCCAGGGAAGCCTTCCTGCAACAGGGGAGAGTAGAGCCGGGGAGGGAGATGTTAGATTAGGGGCGGATATCCCAAGTGAGCTCTGTCAAGGTGTTATGGACACTTGAGGACTTCATTGTTGAAAATCATTAGATGGATGCGGGGGGGCTGGAGGCACTTCTCCCCAGGCTTTGTGGGGTGCTGAACTTAGTGTGGCCAGCCGCTGTAGCTTAGCATAGGTGAGACTGGCCCAAACCCATGGAGAGCCCTGCCCTTCCTCAACCAGCCTCAGCTACCACCCAGCACCAATAGGGCCCTTTCTGGAAAGCCAGGCGGCCAGACCAGCTAGCACTATTGATACCTGTGGGTGGGGCTCCCTGGGCAGCCACTGGCTGTGCCTAGAAACCTGGAGGGATGCCAGGACCTCAGCTGGGTGGTAAAGTGGGGCACAGAGCAGAGACTGGCACCAATGGGCTTGGGACCTGCTATGTGCTCAGCTGGCAGGCCTGCTGGCATATCCAGAAGAGATCGTTCTTGGGCATTGAAGCCCTAACCTACCACACAGAGCAAAGTCCGGCTGGAGTTTCTCTCAGGGGCCAGATTGCCCCGGCTCCCCTGTTGAGAACAGAGGAGGCAGCAGCTAGCTTTGGGGGAAGGGGAGGCGCCTTCTGGGCTCTCAGGAGTGAGGAAGGAGCAAGGGACTGGGGATAGGGGGCAGAATCGCAACCCTCACCCCACTTCCACAGCTTGGTGCCCTTGGGCCTGTCCCTTCTCCCTGGGCCTGAGTTTCTGCCCACCTAAGGAGACCCTCCTCTAATTATACCTTGCGGCCTCAGGTGTGCTGCTTGGAAAGTGCATGAAGGACAGGAGCGGGAGGAAGGGCCGCGGAGGAAAGCAGCGGCACAGTCCCATCTAAAGTCGCCCTCTTCTCTCTCCGTACCAGCTCTTAGCTCTTCCTGTCTCTGGGGTCACTGCCACTGTCCACCTCCTGACCCCCTCTGGCTGTGGCTGCCACAATGGGCTGGAGGAGTCCTGGGATGGCGGCAGCCCTGGAAGGGGGGCCCAAGCCTTCTGTTTCAGGGGTTCCAAGTCTGGCTGCTGTCCAAGCATCCAGAGAACGGAACAGGGCTGGGCGTACCGGAAGGAGCCCTGGGGCCCTGTAGGTTAGGTGTGGACTGCTAACCGGAAGGTTGGCAGTTCAAACTCGCCATCCATCCTGAGAGACACAGATGAGGCTCTAAGTGCCCATTACGGTCCCAGATGCCCTCGCCTGGGCCTCTCGGAATTGATGTGGGCCTCGGCGGCAGTGGGGTCGGGTTTTATCGGTTGGGCCTCGCGGCAGTGGGGTTGGGTTTTATCGGTTGGGCCTCGTGGCAGTGGGGTTGGGTTTTGTTGGTTGGTTGGTTCTGTCGATTTAGTCAGCTCTCCAAGAGATGTCACCAAAAGGAGCCCGCTCAGCCCCCATCAGGGAGGCTGAGACCCGCACGTGCAGGGCAGCCCCTCACATGATGAGTGACGATGGCATTCGTACCAGTGGGAAGAAAGGGCGCCCCTGCATGATGTGGACGGGGAAGCACTTGGCTGTGAACCCAAGGGTTCACGGTTCAGGCCCACCCGGAGGCACCGCAGGAAAAAGGTCTGACAATCTACATCCAAACACCAGCCCCTGGCACCCCGTGAAGCACAGTGCCACTTGGCACCTGGGTCACCGTGAGTGGGCGCTGACACAGGGCCCGTGTTGGAAGCTTGCAGTGGAGAAAGGGCCCTGCCGGGCTGGAGGAGATGGGCCTGTCTCCAGCATCTCTGTCTGCCCAACCCCGTCAGGTGTGAATGATGTCGATTACTGCCGCTACCCCTCACGCCAGATCCAGCTGCAGTGGCTGCGCTACTACCTGCAGGCCCACAAGGGGGGCCCTGTGACCCCCAGGGAGGTGGAGAAGCTCTACGTGCAAGTCAACAAGTTTGCCCTGGTGAGCACCTGGGCCCCGGGGTGGGGACGGAAGAGACCGATGGAGGTGCCAGGACCCACCCTCTCTCCTACCAGGAGGAGGCAGAGCCCAGGGTCCGCAGTGAGGTCCAGGGACACCCACCCTGCCTCTCAGAGTCCCGGAAAAGTCACCTCAGTTGCGCCTGTCTTACCAAGATGTCCTGATCCCTTGGCTAAGCCTGCCTGCACTGTCTGCTAGAGGGTGACGGGGTGTGGAAGCAGGTGGGAGACTGAGCGGCCCCAGCTTCCCATCTGGGCAGTGCTCTCAGGAGGACTGCGGTTTTCTGCCGTCTGGACTCAGTTCCTGAGCTGCGTTGCCCCGAAGAGCAACCGGGCTCTCCTGCTCCAAACGCTGCAGTCAGTGGGTTGGGCCTGTGCGTACGGCTCCTGCCACGTCTCTTCTGCCATGTGCCCAGGGGATCACTCACTAATCTTAGTACCGCCAGCCAGGTATACACAAGACGACGAGCCAGCTGTCCTGATGTCGGCGTACAGACTAGATAGACTCCTTAGGAGAGTCCTGGTTTTGATGGACTAGGCACAGAAACGACCCTGCCGGCCTCCTCTTCTTCAGGGTCCACCCACCTCCCTGGAGTCGGCTTTCTGTGTCACCCTGCTCCCGGGGTGAGCCATGCCCCTCTCCGGGACATGCAGAGAGGAGAGAGCCTGTGTGCGACTGGCCGCGCCTCGGGGTTTTCAGAGGCAGGTTGCCAGGCCCTTCTCTGGAGGTGCCTAGTGGAACACCCCCCCACCCCCACCTCACCCCCGCCAGCATTTCATTTGCCGCCCAGCCTCTTGACCGTTTGCAGACTCACCAAGAGAGTTGGGTCAATCACACTTGCTCATTGATCCGTGCTCCCTTCCAAGTCCTGGGAAGAAGAGGGCGTTGGAGGGAGGTGCCGGGTGAGGGCTCTGGGTGGGGTGGGAGGGAGGAGAGCCTGGAGAAGTCATAGGGCGACTTCTGTTGGCCCCACGGCAGCCCAACGCCACATCTGATTTCTTGACCCTGCGGTGAACTGGGACCCGGAGGACACTCCTGGCTCTGAGGTCAGCTTGGTCCTAGTGTGAGCCAGTCCCAGGGGGAGGGCCGCCTGGGGAAGGACATCCTGCCCATATCATACATCATCCTGATGACCTGGCCCGGTGAGCTTCAGGGCCAGGGTACTGGCACGCCTCGCTCCCCCATTCCCTTGGGGCTCCAGCTCCTCTGCAGGCCTTCCATTGGCCACAGCCTCGGGGAGCCATTCCCGCCACACCGGAGGCTCCCCCAGGTCGAGTGTGAGCCCCACTCAGGCTGGGGAACCAGCTACAAGCCCTGCAGCCCTGTTCCCCTGCTTGGCTCAGCCCCTGCCTGGGGCACACACCTTGGACCCAGGGCCAGAGTGGAACCTCCAAAACTGCCCAGTAACTTGGCTTCCCCGCCAGGTGACTGCCAAGCTCCAGGCTCCGTGTCTCCCAGGGGCCTGTGTCCCCCTGGCTGCGTAGGTCCGTGCCATGCACAGGAGGGCCACCCTGACCCTCTCTCGTCCGTTTGCAGGCCTCTCACTTCTTCTGGGCACTCTGGGCCCTCATCCAGAACCAGTACTCCACCATCGACTTTGATTTCCTCAGGTCAGTCTTGGGGACAAGTGTGTGTGTGTGTGTGTGTGTGTATGTGTGTGTGTGTGTGTGTTGTGTGGTGGGCAGACAGACACGGATGGGACTGGGTAGACTTTGGAACTTAAGGTATGGGACAAATGGGTCTCTGGCACCTGTTTCTCTGCTCTGGGGATCTCAGTCCAACCCAGTCCAGCTGTGTGCCATGATTCACTGCCCCAGGGGAGGTCTAGAGCCATAGGTAAGCTGAGAGCACCCCAATAGCAGTGGAGTCGGGTCCCTGCCCTCCTCTCCTGATGCCCCCGCTGATGGTCCACAGGGCTGGTGGAGCTCCGGAATGCAATTCCGAGAGAGATCATGGGCCCATTTTACAGTCCTGCAGCCAGTTCTGGAGAGCAGTGTGGCTTGCTGAAGTCTACGGGATGGTTTAGTGGTGACCCAGGAGCCCCAGTGGCGTCGTGCATTATGCATCTTGCTGTTAAATGCAAGGTCGGCAGTTCAAAACTGCCAGACACTCTCCTGGAGAACGATGAGGCTTTCTACTCCCGTAAACAGTTAAACCTACAGGGGCAGTTCTACCCTGTCCTGTAAGGTGGCTGTGAGTTTTGTGCAGTGTCCCTGCCGACACAGCTGCATCTGGCGGTACCTGCCCTGCGCGTGGAGTTGGCAGCCTGGGTGGAGGGAGATTCGAGTCGTCCCCCTTCCTGGTCCAGCCCCTGACAACCTTCCTTTCTGTCCAGCCTCAGCTGAAAGGGAGTCACAGCCCCACCTGCAGGGCACGCTGGCTCTTCCTGAACACCCTGAGTAGCACCAGTTTTCCACTGGTCTCCCCTTGGCCGCCCACCCCCTCCAGCTCCTACCCTGTCTCCCTGCAGGTATGCTGTGATCCGCTTCAACCAGTACTTCAAGGTGAAGCCGCAAGTGTCTGCCTTGGAGATGCCAAAGTGACCAGCATCCCCCAGCCCTCCCTGCTCATCTGTCTCACAGGCTCGCCCTGCTCTGGGGCCACATGTTGGGACAGATGGGGTGTCCAAGGAGAAAGGTCGGCCCCTGCCCCCAGTGAATGCCACTCTAGACCTCTCTCCTTCTGTTTGGACTTGGGGGGGGGGTCCCCTTCATTTCCCCAAGCCTAAGGGGAAGTGCCTGCCGACAGCCAGAGCCACCAGCACCAGGAATGGGGCTATTAGTACCCCTCTCCCCAGGCCGCCGCAGCCCCAGGCTGTGGGGTAGCCATGGTGTGTCTGCCCTTCCTTGCTGGGGGAAGGTGGGAGGGCTTCTTTCTACCTCCAGCGCCCAAGCTTGCAGCCCACCCCCACACCAACTCCAGACGAACTGACAGATGGACCGAGGCACATAACCCATGGGGTCTAGAATTGGGCCCGGCAGCTCTCCGTGCAGCCACCCGACCTAAGCCCCTCACTTTCAACCCCACCGTGGCCAACGCTCTTCCCTCCCGGAGGCCACGGATCCTGTGTGGCCTCCCTCCCAGCAGCCTGCCGAGGGAGCAGGAAGGTGTGGGCTCTGCCCTCGAAGGCCTGGCCGAAGGGGACTTTGCTGACAGACAGTAGTGGCCAGCCTGCCCATGAGGGGCTGCCTCCCCAGCTTAGCTTCTCACGAAGTGGACCCCAGGCCTTCCCGCTGGGGCGCATCGAGGGAGTCGGGGCCCAGGGCCTACAGAGGGTAGGATGGAGGTGGTGCTGAGCTGGTGGTCCAGACGGACCCTCAGAGGCTGTGCCTCCTTGGTGCCCTCACAGCAACCCCCCACCAGCCTAGAAAGTGATTCATTTCTATTATCCTGGTTTTCTGCATTAAAATGGCCACTTCTGGAGCTGCCTTTTGAGCGAGAATGGAGGGGAGGCCTTGACGTGAGGGTGCGGGCGTGTTGGTGAGTCTCTCTTGGCGTCTTGCCGTCTGCCTGGACTGGGAGGGGGAGTGTTCCACCCCTTTCTATAGCCCCTTGTGTTTGGCTCTACACTGTGTGTGTGTGTGCGCGCGCACACTTGAAGTGGCAGTGGGGCCTGTACACTTAGGACTGTGCCACCTCAGGTGCCCGGCGCCTCCGGGCAGGCTGGGCAGCTGGCTACACCTGATGTAGTGCTGCCTAGGAGCTGGACTGTGGACAGCAAGGAGCATGGAGCCCTCCCGAGGCCACAAGCCACCTCTGCTCCCAGCTACTGGGGGCGGGAACGTGAGAGGGGCTGCTCTCCCTGTCCTGGGAAGGGTGATTCCCAGAGCCAGCACTTTCTTTGAAAGGACAGAGGGAGGGGCAAGCAGACGTCCCTCTCTGCAGCCCCCGTTGTTGCAGCTGCACCTGTGGGGCTGGGCTGCAGCAGAAGGTCCCAGAATGCAGCCAACACGCTCCAAGGTCCGGTGGGTGGACGCTGCCTGCCAAGGCCCAGGTGTCATGGCAACGGCTGGAGCTGACAGGCCTCCTCCAAGGTCATGGGGCCCCTGTGTGGCTGGCAGGAACCAGGCCTTGAGGGACACTTTAGTGTTGTGCATGGCAGTGGGGAAGATGTGCCCAGAGCTGGGCAGTTGGGCTACCCTAGGTTGTCCTGGGGTCAGTGGTGGTGGCCACGGCCTTCCTAGGCTCCAAACAGCACAATTCCTCTTGGCACCACCTGGGCCCTCAGCTCCACTTCCAGCCGCTGGGCCTCTCCATTGATGCAGGGCTCTAAGAACAGTTGCCCTGTGCTCCGGGGCCCCAGACCCCAGCTGTACCCAAGAGGTCACCAGCAGACAACCTTCCCTGACCTAAAGAGACCACATCCTCCATCCCCAGAGGGTAGTATGCAGTGGAGGGCCCACCTCTCCCTTGTCCTGAAACTAACCCACACCCGGCCTGCTCATCCAGGGTCTAGACCTTGGAGGCGTCTCGACGCCGGCCAGGGTTAGAGTCCTGGCCGGGGAACTGACCCGCCACCCTGCAGGAATGGCCCAAGAGTGAGCCTTGCTGGTAACGGACATGACACTCAGTCCTGGCCACTGCAATCCACCTGAGACTCCAGAGGGCTAGAAGAGGATGTAAGGGTGGAGCCAAGTGGGGGCCTGCCTGATTTCATCTGGAATTTGCCCTACATGTAAACCCGCAGTAGGCGGGAAGGGGCCCTAAAGATGCAACTCTCCCACAGACCACTAGAGGGCAGGCGCCGCAGGCCACAGGCGCCCTCATCTTTCCCACCAGGGTCCCTGAGGACTGGTCCCTAAAGCTGGCCAGGGAGACCCCGTTGAGAGTAAAGGGGCGGAGACACAACGCCCGGGGAGCGGGGCTGGGGAAACTCACAAGAGGTTTCACTCTGGTTCCCTCCAAGTTTGAAGTCCGTCTACACATGCCTGCGCCCACCACCACCCTCCCCAATCTGCAAATCCCTTTTCCAGGGCTTAGGAGCCTTTGCTGGAATACTCCCGGTGTCTGGAAGTGGGCTACCACTTTTAAACACTTCTGTCGTAAAGCTCTCTCTGTCAAGCCAGAACACTGGCCTTGGAGAATTTCACCTGCGAGACCAGGTTGTACCTCAAGAACTCCTTGTCCCCAGGCAGATCTTGAGAAAGCAGTTTTGTCCTCGCCCCCCCGCCC